TTCCGCTTACCGGGCAGATGCCATGTCCACTAGGCTACCCTGGACATATTTTTCCGCTCGTAAATATTATATAAAGTGATTTATAATACAATATAATGCGGCTTATAAATGTCGTTCTACAATTATAAGCCGCATTATATTGTATTATAAATTATGTACTATGGAAAAATAATGAAAGATTCAATCATTTAAAAATCAATCAGCCTTAGTTCATAGTGAATTAATTTTGTGGAAATTACCAGAAATCTCATATTGACGTTTTGAAGCAATATAATAATTTATTTGAGATTCTACACCAATATATTAGAGTCTCGAAGACCACGCCATCACCATCTCCTCAGCGGTGAAGCATGCCATCTACGTTTTCTTTGTAGATCGTGAAATACGTGGTGTCGCTGGAGACCCACTGGCGATTCTACACCAAACTCTGCAGCGGCAACAATTATAAGCCGCATTATATTGCATTATTAATTACTTTATATTGTGACGGTGTTTTGACCCACCGCCAATTTTGAACGGCCTTTCAACTACCATCAACTCTGCCGGCGGCGGTGGTGACGCCAAGTCGGCGCGCATGCGCGGCGGTGGCGGTGACGTGGCAAGCACGCGCGGGGTGATTCGAAATCGACGGCCATCAGAGGCAGACATTCATTCTCATCCATCCATTTAAATCAAACTTTTTTCAACTCTTTTTAACTTGATAATTAATTTATAACATTTTATTAATAATTATATTTTATCCTAAATAAATTAAAATACCACAAATTAATAATTGAATCATTTTTTAAAAATCAAAAGAACCACCACAGTTTTGGCGCAGCCGACAGGATATTCAATTATTCAAGCATCAAAAAGATTTTAATATTATATTTATTTCATTCATTTGTGAACATAATTTGGATTTTAATAATTTTTAAGCAAAAAATTGAAGACTGAAAAAAAAAAATATTTTTGAGAATAAAAATAATATCCAATATCATTATGTCCAAAGAAAATATTTTAAAATTGCAAAAATACAGCGGGGATCAGAAGGATATTCGTGCCCAGAGCTGGGTAAAACTTTTTGAATTACATGTTACAGATGAAGATAAAGGAAAATTGTTCTTTTACTATCTAGAAGGAAGAGCCTTAGAATGGTATGCTGATGAAATTGCAGGAACAAATATTAAGCAATGGGAAACCATCAAACAAAAATTTATTACAAGATTTGGATCATCAACAGCAACACCATTAATTGATGCACAACGAAGGTATCTACGCCGCGATGAATCCGTCAATGACTACTTTCAGTCCAAAATCCGGCTTCTAAAACAAACTTCCTTATCCAAAGTTGAACAGATCCAGATGTTGACGGAAGGATTACCAGCACAATGGAAGATAAGCTTAGCCCCAATACATTTCGGAGATATAGAGACTTGGGTAAGTGCAACCTTAAAATTGGAGGCTGCATTTGGCTCCATACAGAAGAACTCCAAACCAGCCTTTAGCGATAATAAATTTAAAGATCCTACCTCTTACATCGCATCACCTCCGAAGCCACCATACCCATGCAGATTTTGCAAAATGCGAAATTTAAATAATTTTCATTGGCATAATGAATGCCCATATAGACCCAAAACATTCCCTAAAGAAAGTGCAGCAAACGAACAACCCTCAAATTTGTATGCTACTTCCGACCCTTCATCTTCAAACTCAACTGATTTACCAACAGTTAATTTAAACTAATAGAGCGGCCAATCTTCAAGTTCATCAACATCAACACATTAGTCAACTCCACCCCCATACAAGCATTCATTGATACAGGTTCAACCATCAGTATAATGTCCTATTCCCAATTCAAAAATTTGAACCTACAAATGGAGCCATCATCATCCATTTACATCAATCAGGCTAATTCCAGAACAAGAAGCTTTGGTCGCGTTAAAGTCAACCTTACCATCAGTCACATCACCCATCAGATAGATTTTCACGTCCTCAGAAACTTCATGTACCCCCTCCTACTAGGTCTTGACGTGGGAACTCTGTTCAATCTTCATGTCGACATCAAGAATGGTGTTGTGACTACTAAAGGACCATCTTTGTATAATTGTAAATTTCAGGCGAATCATTTAAGACCAGAAACAAATCAAACCCTTGACAAGATATTACAAAAATATACAACTATTTTTAGTGAGAATTATTTTGATGTAGGAAAAATCAAAATAGCAAAACACAACATCCATACCATTCCTCATCCGCCTATCCAACTTCGACCGTATCGAAGATCAGCGTCAGAGTATGATGAGATTAAACGACAGGTTGAAGATTTAAAGAAAAAAGGACTAGTTCGAGACAGTCGAAGCCCATGGGCCTTCCCAGTCACCCTCGTACCAAAGGCGGATGGCCAAAAGAGGCTTTGCGTTGATTACCGCCGCCTCAATGCCCTTACCATTGACGACAAGATGCCTCTGCCTAACATTCAAGAAGTCATCGATCGTCTTCAGGGAGCGAAATACTTCACTTCGTTGGACATCGCTTCAGGTTATTGGCACGTCGAAATGGCTCCAGACAGCACAGAAAAGACCGCATTCATCACCAACGAAGGGCTTTATGAGTGGTTAGTAATGCCCTTTGGGTTAAAAAACGCCCCTGCTACTTTTCAGCGAATCATACAACAAACCCTTGGTCCATTAATGTACAAGGGGTGCATCAACTATCTTGATGATTTCATCATATATTCTAAAACTTTAGAAGAACATTTTGACCTTCTATCAGAAGTGCTAGAAAAATTATATTCCCAAAACCTCAAGCTCAAGCTTCAAAAATGTTCTTTTATCAGAGAAGAAATTGAATATCTTGGATATATCATCAAATACAACCAGGTTACACCTTCACCTCGGAAAATAGAAGCCGTTAAAAGTTTCCCAATCCCCAAAACAGTCAAAAACATACAGCAATTTCACGGATTGTGTAGTTATTATCGGAGATTTATAAAAGATTTCAGTTCAATAGCACAACCTCTAACAGATTTATTGAAGAAGGATAAAATTTTCCACTGGTCTGAAATTCACCAAAAAGCATTTGAAACTTTGAAGAATTTAATCACACAACCTCCAGTTCTGGCAATGTATGACCCTACCTTACCATGTAAGCTCTACACTGATGCCTCAGAGCAAGGACTTGGTGCAATTCTTGCACAGAAACATCCAGATGGTAGAGAACGGGTTGTTTCCTATTTCTCAAAACGGCTCAACCCAACCCAGTCACGCTACACCGCTACAGAGTTGGAATGTTTTGCCATCATCGAAGCAGTCCGACATTTCAACAACTACCTAGACAAGCCATTTCAAATTATCACAGATCATAGTGCTTTAAAATGGCTATTGAATCATAAAAACCCTGGGGGAAGACTTTTCCGATGGTCAATGGAGCTATCTTCTAGATCGTTCACCATTATCCACAGAGCAGGAGGACAACAAACACATGTTGATGCACTTTCCAGGAATCCAGTGTGCACATTCATAACCGAAGATAAGATGAAGATTGCTCAACAACAGGCAGACTTGCTATTTGTAAAGAACCCTCAAATTAAGAGTGGCATTGTCACTATACGAATTCGAGGCCATTCCAAAGCAGTTGTACCTGATTCCCTACGGGCAAAATGTCTTCACCACTTTCATGATGGCTTTGGACATCCTGGAAAAAACAAAACATTGAAGCTGATTTCCACATATTACTGGTGGCCACAAATGCTCAGGACCATAAAAGAGTATGTTTCCTCCTGTAAAGTTTGTCAGCTCAGCAAACAGTCAAACCAACCGACAATCGGCCATTACCAAATACCAGACAGCGACCTCCGACCATTTGACCTCATTGGACTCGATACAATTGTTTTGGGAAATGAAGCCAAGAACACCAGACATAAGTATCTCCAGGTCATCATAGATCACCATAGTCGTTACATTTGGGCATCTCCCACAGCATCCAACAATTCAGCTGCCATCCTCAACATCCTTAGACAGCTGTTATCTTCTGGAGTACCAATCAAACGTATTCTGACGGACAATGGTTCGAATTTCACAAGTAGAAGCTTCAAAAATTTTCTGTCGGAAAATAAAATTGCCCATTCCCTTGCTACTCCATACCATCCTCAGACATGTGGAATGGTAGAAAAGGCTAACCATACCCTTCTCACAAGATTGAGAGCTGCAATTTTGGAGAAACCGAAACAAAAATGGTCGACACTCGTACCATTTATTGTCAAGACCTACAACCAGACACCACATGAAGTAACAAAATTCAGCCCAAAGTTTCTTCTGTACGGAATTGATGAATCACCATCTTTTTCTGACCATACCATTACTTTAGAAGAAGCAAGAGGTCTGGCTCGCGAGAATACCAGAAAAGCTCAAATAAAGAGAAAGAATCTTCATGATGATAAACATCCAGATGTGGAATTCTCTGAGGGAGATCAAGTTTTGAGGACTGTTGCAAAGCACCATCCACACATGTCTAAACTCAGCCCAAGACAACAAGGCCCTTTCTTCGTTAAGAAGAAGATCAGCAGTCTAGTCTATGACATCCAAGACACCGAAGGACGAGTGTACCGGGCTCATGCTTCTCAACTTCGATCTTTCAAGGACAGGGAGTCCTTGGGAGCCGGGGGGTGTGACGGTGTTTTGACCCACCGCCAATTTTGAACGGCCTTTCAACTACCATCAACTCTGCCGGCGGCGGTGGTGACGCCAAGTCGGCGCGCATGCGCGGCGGTGGCGGTGACGTGGCAAGCACGCGCGGGGTGATTCGAAATCGACGGCCATCAGAGGCAGACATTCATTCTCATCCATCCATTTAAATCAAACTTTTTTCAACTCTTTTTAACTTGATAATTAATTTATAACATTTTATTAATAATTATATTTTATCCTAAATAAATTAAAATACCACAAATTAATAATTGAATCATTTTTTAAAAATCAAAAGAACCACCACAATATAATATTTACAAACGGAAAAATATGTCCAGGGTAGCCTAGTGGACATGGAATCTGCCAGGTAAGCGGAACACTGTGGGTTCTATTCCCATCCTTGGACACTTTATTATTCCGTTTATCATCACTCTTCACAATTCATCCTTTCATTATTCATCCCTAAGGTCAGAAATAATCGTTATTTCTCCTTTAAAATAAATTTAAATTTTTCGTTCAATCATAAGCCGCATTATATATATTGCAGTATAATACAGACTGTGAACCTTTGCATGTATTGACAAGATGTCAATAAAATTATTTTAATTGTCAAACATTGTCTACACCTATATATAATTCACCAAAGAAATATCATACACAGAAGAACCTCAATCAGACGACACTCCAGCTAGAGGACACTTCTATTTTAAAGGCATTTTAGATCTTCCAAAATTACCATTTTACTAATTAGCGGCTCTCCGGTGAGTGGACACTTCTTTCTTAAGAACATACTTAAGATCTGCAACTAGGTGTTTTACTTTACAGAGAGGTTCTTCAGTATATGTTTATCCCCTCCCTCCATTTATACATAAAACGTATTCCAATTATCAAAATTAATTTTGATAACTCTAATATTTTGAAGTTATATTTAATTCAAATAATTAGTATATAATTTTAATCTTCCATTTTATATCATCAAATATATTATTACTTTTTATATGATGTATTATAATCCGCCTTTGTTATAAGAAATATGAACCATTTTGAGCGTGTATGAATCTTTTGGAATTAAAACAATTTTCTACTACGTTATTGAATTGATAAAATAAAGGGAAGGCTAGGTTTATATAACATAATATCATAAAATAAATAAAGCTTCCAGGGTTAAGTTTCTTGTACCACTTTTTATTTTCAAGCTTTCGGAATTGTCAGTCCTTCAACAGGATTATCACGATAAAAATAGATGTTATGTACTATTTTATATACGAATTAATTTTTACATATTTAAATATTAATGATATTGAGAGGGAAGAAAATATATATTACCTTCTTTGTGTGTTATAAACATTTTTTAAAAATATATTCGTGCTTGGTGGAGATATCATTCGACCAGCGCGTATCCTCCACCATGCACGTATATTTTCAAAATTGTTTATAACACACAAAGAATGTAATATATTTTTTCTCCCCCTTTCAATATCATTAACATTTAAATATGTAAAATTAATTTGTATATAAAATAGTATATATCATCTATTTTTATCTTGATAATCCTGTTAAAGGACTGACAAGTCCAAATTTTTAATTCATTTCTAGTAGTTTTTCTCTAAATGTTCTTCTGCAGTAAGATAAAATAAAGCCGTGATATTTCTGGCCAGAAGACACAGCCTCACAAATCTGGATCAGCCAATATTAATGGCCAGAAGATTAAACGCACCAGTTTCCATCAATTATTGAGGAAGGAAAATGGCTGCTCAATACGCTAGATGCTCTTCTACTAAATCCTCCATTTATTTCTCTCTACCATCTAGAATATTCATAAAATAATGGAAGATCACAATAATAGCATTTTACCACATTTATATGCTCACTACAACAACATATTTATTGTATTCTTTATATACTGTATCTAATATTAGCACTCTGTAATTTTATTTTAAACGTCAACTATATATTTACAAGTGTACTCTTGTACTCTTCATATTGAATCATATAGACATTTTAAAGACATATTTGTATAATTACTCTTCCAAAATTTATTATTTAAGTGAAATCCTCTCTATTTCAAATATTTTCAAATTATTCCATAAATGTGTGAACTGTCAAAATTTCTTTATACCATCTAGAAATCTAATATGTTTAAATAATCAGAGAATATGAAACTTTATTTATTTCTCTCTATCATCCTAAATAGTCATAAAATAATCTCCCATTACAATAATAGCTATTTTACTGGATTTATATGCTCAATACAGCAACAAATATATTGTATTCTCTATATACTGCATCTAATATTAGCACTCTGTAATTTTATTTAAACGTCAACTATATATTTACAAGTTAGATAATGAAAAGTGATATATCGAATTGAATAGAATATTTATTTTCCAATATTTCGGTTGGATAAACGCCAACCTTTATCAAGGCATTACATTTTTGTATACACAAACTCAGCGCCGCATAGTGTTATAATATCACAGTTGAAATCATTTAAAATACAAAGTAGGTGGGGGAAATTTGTGTATGAAAATATTATTATAAAAATCACAATTAGAATAAGTTAAATATCTTAAATTATTAAAGGAGAAAAATAACGAGGTCTATCGTATATTTTGAAATATTTGTAATAAGTACATAGAATATAAACCATCAATAATTAATTAAGAGATAAATGTAAAAATATAAGTGTCTATTAAATCATTTGAAAATAAATTATAAATTATTTATACGATTATATGATATTTGCAAGTGTACTCTTGTCTTCTTCATATTGAATCATATAGACATTTTAAAAACATATTTGCACAATTTCTCTTCGAAAATTTATTATTTGAGTGGAATCCTCTCTCTCTCAAAAATTTCCAAATTATTCATAAATGTGTAAACTGTCAAAATATCTTTATACCATCTAGAAACCTAAGTTTAAATGATCATAGAATATAGAAATTTATTTTCCAAATTGGAGTAATTCCAGTTTCTTGTATAGTAGCCTGTTAAAGGACGTCATAGTCTGAAAGCTAGCCAAGATTCTACAGCATAAATAAAAGAAACCCGTCGCCGAAAATTTTGATTCCTTCTTCGAAGTAGTAAGTAATTATGAAAAGGAATGTGTACTGCTACTACTCACAAGACAGACTCCTCAAAATCATTTCTTCAGAAATCAACAAACTGAATAAAAATACCAAAATAAGTCTATAATGGATTCCATCACATGGGAGAGTCCCTGGAAATGAGGAGGCCGACAGATTGGCAAAGGAAGGAGCAGCTGGACATCCTGATGCGGTGAACTCCGAGACCTACCTTTCAGCAAGGGACCATATTAACAAATTAAAACTACAACTGATAAGGAACCATAGAGATAGTTTCCATCATTCTTGGTACCAAATAGAAAACCCCAAAAAACAGACACTCCAACTAAACAGAAGGAAGTCGACACAGTTGGCCAGATGGAAATCTTGTCACCTGCGCCCTCTAGTCTATAAAGAGGGAGCCAAAAGCTCCCCCATGTGCACTAGGTGCAAACCGAAGAGGCCACTCCCCAACATATACTAAATTGCATTGGAAAGGACAAAGGATCCTTGTACAGAGAACCAAGAAGAGTTCTTGAATTTCTTTATGAGCACGAACTCCAAGATCTTGTCTAATTTAGACTAATAAATGGATAAGAAAAAAGTGTTACTTTATAATAACCAAGTTATTTGTTATAGAGTTTGTTAATATATTCAAAATAGATCACAAATATGTCTAGAGAAGCAATTTAACAAATAAATATATGAGTGGTCGTAAAATATATTCAAATATTTATTACCTCTATTATAAATTAGATTTTTATGTTTATATTTTATTTCTGTGGTAGAAAGGATAATATATTTAACTAACAAATCATAGAGAGAGGTATATTTCATAAATATTCACCTCTATTTTTTCTGTAATGAAATATTGATTGTATTGAAAGTGACAATTCCAGATATTTCTACGATATAATACTCCTGTGATTTACATAGCATTGTAGTATTGTCTATGTTAATTGACATCTCTGTCTATATATCGCGCAGCTTTGTTGGTTTGTTATAGTTGGCTAGCGTTTATTGGATAGGGCAGGCCGGCGTGAGCTGCTGATGTAAATATAATTTGATCTCTTGTTCTTCTTTTATTGTTTTATATCTTTAGGTAATAAAGAATATTTCTCCTCTACGAATTTATAATTTTCCCAACAGATTAGAAAATCATATTTATAGGAATAGTAAGGGAATCCTGCCTGGATAAATGAAAAGAAGGACAAATATAAAATATTTCGAAGAATTTCACTCTTTTTTTCCGTTTATTGGTCAATTAAAAGTGTTTACACATTGCACACAAGCCTAATGAAACCGTTTATAAAAATGATTAAAATACTTAATTCAAAGAAACAATTCAACGTCGAATTTTTACTTAAATCTTTTATTTAATTATTTGACATATCGGACGCGATATCCCAGCTTGGAATACTTGCGCCTAAATACATTTTAGCAACTTATATACAATTCATTTTAATGCAATTCAATAAACAAGACTGTAAAACAAAATTAAAACTGAAAGGTTGGTTTTCTCAAACAGAAAAGAAAATCTAAAATGAATTTACAAAAATTATTGAATTTTACATAGATGTCTTTGTTATATACAAATTCACACATTTCTTCGATGGGATAAAGATTATTATTTCTGTAGCTGTGAAAGAATGGACTTTCTATCAATAAATATATTGAGTCTTGGTTTTCTTTTCCACAGAAGCAGCTAGGATTATCTGTTGCCCCGAGTTTCGACAGAAATTCTCCAAAATTACCATGATTTGAATTGAATTGTGCTTTGTAAAAATTTGAACGAAAATAGCAAGGAATTCCAAATGGGAAAGGTTTCCGGAATATTTCATTAGTGTTAGCTTTCAGCCATTCTTGATTCTATGAAGTTATGAATTATAGTTTGGTCAAGCGGTCTAAATAAATTACTGTCTTCTTGTGATAGATTAACCAATTCGTAATTTATTATCAAAGATTCTACGTGATCTGTTAGAATAGGTATTTTTGCCAAACTATTTATTTAATGAGGTCGTTTCATAAGCTCTCACTCACCAAAGAAAATATGATATTGCTGATGGTTTAATCTTTGCTTACTTCTTTATTAACAAATTTATACCATATTTCATATTTTTACTTCTATTCTTAGATATATCCTTTAATTTATTCCTCGCATTTGTGCGATAGGCAAATTTTATACCATGAAAAATACTATATATATGGGAAAATGGTTGGAAGGGTGAATATACTATAGCATAAGGTGCTGTGTGGAGCGCAAATTGAGAGTGCTTTCCGATTTCAACCATTTTAAACGAACCAGTTTAGAATGGATCTAAACGCCAATCTCAGCAGT